TTTACTAACCTCTGAGCCATCTCTGCAGCCCTTGTTTCTTTTGAGATGGTCTCCCTGTAGCTCCAGTTGTCCTGGAACTCACTATGTAGACAAGGCTGGCCTCCATCTCACAGAGATCTGCCTGCCTTGACCTCCCAAGTCCTGGGATTATCAGCCACCATACCTGTCCCAACTTTTTAGTTTTTAAAAAGATTTTCTTTCTTTTTATTTTACGTGTATGAGCATTTTGCTTCATGTATGTAAATACATCTGTGTCATGCAATACTTGTGGAGGTCAGAAGAGCATGCTGGATCCTCCCTTGGAACTGGAGTTAAAGATGGTTGTTAGCCAGCATATAGTTGTTAGGAATCAAACATGGATCCTTTGAGAGAGCAGCTAGTGCTCTGAGCCATCTTTGCAGACCCAGCTTTTTAGTTTTACATACATGTTTCCAGTGGCACCTATAGTTGAACAGAAAATTTATTTAAAATGACATTTGAGCTTTTTATTGCTCCAAAAAGTTTATAAAACATTTATATAAGACATAATTCTTTTTCCAAAAATGTTTGCATTGCATACTTTGACCAGTGTTTATGCTTTTTATATAATTCCATACAAATGAAGCATGAAGTTTATTTTCCTTTGATTATCATATAGTAAGAATTTTCAAACCTAGATTACTAAAGATATTTATAGAAAAATGGACACTATTTTTTTTTTTGAGACAGTCTTATGTAGCCCAAATTGACTTTGATGTATGGGAAGAAGTTCTCTGGGGATGGGGATGACTCCTTTTGTAACCATAGTTAGTCTTATATTTTGAGATCACATAATACTACCCATTCAGTCTGCCTTCCTCCTGTGTAATCAGCTTATTTAAATCTTGCTAACCTTCAGGAAAATAATATAAGCACTCTAACTAGGACTTGGGTTCCTCTTGCAATCAAATTTTATAAGCTAAGTGGGAACACATAAGTTTATTCTTAAACTGTGTTCTCTATTTCTCCCTCACGACCCTTCCTTGTCCCTGACCCAGAATATTTATGTGTGTACGGGGCGGGGGAGTGTTATGGAAAGATCATTGTTGAAAGCAATGTTAGAAGTAATAAACTATTCACAGTATATGTTTCAAACAACATGTGGACTTGGGCTTAGGCTGATAACATTCCTTTGTGTATTTGCTGTTCGGGGCTAGTAGGGGGTCAGAAAAGAAAGATTCTTCAGTGATAAGACAAAGTTCCTCATTTTTTCCCCCATGTCATGGTGGATGTATTGTTTAAATAGAGAATGCCCTTGGCTGGAAGAATAGTGCTGAGAGAAATCAATCAGAAGAAATGATTCTGAGAACAGATTGGGCTTACTTTTGGTTTAAATGACTCTAAGAGTTAGGCTGTCTTTGAATCAGGCACCGCCACATCATGGCATCTGCCACACAACTTTATATAGCTGAGGCTCACTTTGAGCTCTTGATCTTCCTGCCTCCACCTCTCAAGTGCTAGAATTACAGGTCTGTACCACCTTGCTTGCTTGGGTCTCTTGCTATCTGGTGATTTTGGTACTAATTCTGTCAGGGGATTAGTACAAGTGTCTAGCTTACATTGAAAAGTCCTTCCTAGACTTTCAAGTACGTCTTGAATGAAATATTTAAGGTTTCTTTCATTTCTCTATTCCATAAATATTTGCAGAGCGCCTTCTGTGTTCTGGGCTATACTTTCAGAATAAAAAGTATAACACATGACCTCTCAGGTTCAACCCCTTACCTCTGAGTGATGTTTAATCTTCATTGTCAACTGGTCTGGATTTAGGGTCACTTAGGAGGTAGTAAAGCACACCCATGGGCCTGTCCATGAGACAGTTCTAGAAAGAACCGTCTGGAAGGTGGGAAGACACACTCTAAATGTGAGCAGTACTACCCCATGGCTGAAACGGGGAGAAGGAGGGAGCCAGCCCAGTTTGGGCACATCCCTTTTCTCTTCTCCCTGACCACCTTGTCATGAACTTCTGTTTTCCACCATACCCTCCCTGAGTCGATGAATGAGCATCTCAAAAACCCTAAAACCTTGAGCCAAAATAAATCCTTTATTCTTCAAGTTGTTTATACTAGGCATTTTGGTCACATCCACAAAAAGCTAACACCATCTTCTTCATGTGAGTAACTGAAACAAAGTGTCACACAGCCTTGACCTACCTAACAATGTACTGGGTCAAGGAAGAGAGAGTTGCTTCTGCCTGTGCAGTCTGGAGAACCTTCCTGAGAACACACATTATAAGTGATTGGATGGAGAACATGCATTATAACTGATTGGAGTTTCCCCAAACAGGGAAACTGAGCAATATATGGACAGATCTGGGCAATTTTCAGTTCTATAAAACCAGAGGAAGGATTGGGAAGGAGAAGTTTTCCACATTATGCAAAAAGGTTTATGGCAACTGTGATTACTATTTTGCTGATAAATTATGCAATTAGCAGAGCACAGCAAGGACAGTAACAAATGAGACCATGGAGCACAGTCTTGACTCCGAAAGCTACAGAACAGTATTTTGGAGATTTAGTCCCATGTCAGATTAACTGCTTTGGTGGGTTCTGTTGTAAGCCCCTGCTCTCTCCAGGAGGCTGCGCTCAGGGTAATAGTGCAACATTCTAGGATCCGTCAATCATGTCACCTCCACCTTCATGAACATTTGCATGATTACAACACCAGGGAAGAGTGTGGAGAGTCAAGCACAGTCCATGAAGTGGCTGTAGCAGGAAATGGAGCATTTCAGGTACTACAGTCAGTCATTTGGATAGACCAAACTTCATTGTCATGGAACATATAAACCCTCCCTGCCCTATGCTCAGGAAAAAAAAAAAGGACCAGAAAAATCAATGTCATGAAAATTGCTCTCAGTAGTTATGAAATGTTGTGAAAATGTCTTGTGTTTAAGATCAGCCTAATTGGAATCCATAATATCACTAGTATGTCATAAAGTTGAAACTATATAAAAATTTTAATTCTGATCCTGTGATTCAAAGTTATAAACTTTAACTAGTTCCAGTGTTACTCAATATTTACATCACTGTCTATGCAATAGCTGTAAATCCAGTCATTTAGAGCCAGAAAGTATTCATGAACTTGTCTAACCTGTGTTATTAAATCTAAAATCCAGGCACATTTAAATCAATTGGTTCAATAGTAGTTACAATTCTAAAAGCAACTTTTGTGATAGGGCTTTGGTATAGTAACCCATACAAACCTCCACAATCCCCCATCTCCCATGCATCTGCCTGTAATTGACAAATTATTTCTCCTTATTAGCAGGTAGTATTTATACTTAATTTCAGGCATCCTTTTTGGTAGTTGAAATGGATGACCTACGGAAGAACATTTTTATCAAGCACAGATTACAAATACTAGTTTAATTTCAATGACTACCAATTAATCTGAAAGCCTTTCCACTGTTCCCCTACAACATGGTGTTGTGGTTAACACAGATGTGTCACTTGAGCTAACTTTTAAATTTCACATTTGCTTTTTCGCCCATCAATGTGACTTTTCATAATTGTCAAGCTTATGAGACTGAACAGAAGCTATGCAAATGCACCTGTTTGTCAGGTGTGAAGCATCATCTCAACAGTGTCATTTGGGAACCGAAACTACAAACTGGCACAGCGCTGTGCTTTATTCCTGTGATCTTGGAAGAGGTGACTAATGTCCTGTTTGATTCTTTCTTAGTTTACAGATTGTCCTAAAGCATGAGACTGTCCAGTCCTCAAATCACAGCTGTTAGAGGTTTACAGGAAAGGAGTGTATGCCTGTGAAGACCGGATGAGCTTGAACTCCCCACCTATGTGAAAGATCAGTGTCAGAGGTGCCTTTTAACAGTCAAGCAACCACAGGGGTCAGATTAAAAGGAAAGTCTGTAGGTCGAAGGTGAGAAGGCAGGCAGTCTAGCTGCAGGCCAGGCAGCGCGAGCTTTCTGCGCTTCCGCGACCGCGGGGTCCTCGCTCGGGTTCGCCGGCCAGGCAAGTCCCTGGCTCCCCACCTGTCCCTCCAGTGCACGCTCGACTTCCCGAAGCTACGCCCTAGCGGTGGGAACCGCACACGCCGGCCGGGAGCTTCCTCTCCTAGGGCCTCCCCGGCCTAACCCCCAAAGCCGAACGCCCGAGGGGGAAGGAAATTCCTCCACGCTGGCTTCCCTGCCCGCCCCGTCCCCTCTCCGGCTGGCTGCCCCGCTCTCTCGGATGCCGCCGACCAGTTCACCATCACTTCTGCGCCGCGAAGAGGCCGCGCGTCGGGGCTCAAGGCGCAGCCATGGGACAGGGTGAGTGTGAGCGCCAGCTCCGCGGCCGGGGGATGACGCCGAGCGGGCCGGGGGAGGAGCGAGGGCTGCGCCTGTCCCTGGGAACAGCCGGCGGGAGCGGGGCTGGGAGGATCCGGACCGCAGCTCCTCGGAAAAGTTTGCCCGGGGCTCGGGTTGGTCGCAGCCCGAGAACCGGCGGCGAGGCTGGGTCCCGCGCCCGGCGCGCTCCTCCTCCCCATCGCCGCCCACTGGCTGCCGCCCGGGCGAGGGGCGGAGGCTGCAGCACCTCCTGCGGGACCCGTGGCCAGGCGGTGCCCACCCCACGGGCGGGACCGGCCCGCAGGTGGAAGCGCCCGGGGGAGGCTGGCCCGCCCCCGGCTGCCGCGGGTC